GGGTCATGGTCATGCCTTAAGGCTTTCTATTGTTTTGTCATCTCTTTCCCTCTCCCCCTGTCCCTTCTTTCCCTCTCTCCTCTCCCTTCTTTCCCTCTACCTCCTCCTTTAGAGTTGTATAGACGAAGAGGAGTAAGCAAGGAGCCTGTTATGCTTTATATCATGGTCACATTGGTGATGCTCAGGACCTGCCAGAGTCAAAATTCATGTATATCCCAACGCTGACCACCCTGTTCAATCTCTGAATCCACTTCCAGTTCACACTGGGTTGTTGTCAGCCTTGGCCAGAAAAGCCAAAATTGGTGTAGGTCGGGCAGGATATAAATGTGTATTCTAAGTTTTATTTTTTTTAAAGGTATTTTTTTCTTAGTGAATTATTCACCCACAGACATGGGAGGAAAAAAAGAGTGTGGGAGTATGGAAAAAAAATGTTTACAGGCCTAACTGTATTTTACTAAAAAGTTGTGAAAATTATTTGACTTCATTGGGGATGAGGCCAAAGAAGGAAGCCCAAAACTGATCTCTGTGTTCTAAAGGAGTGCAGCCTTGCACAGCCATTAGATATGAGGGCACTGTCTGGCACTGTAGCCATCTCAAAAACAAATCAACAGCAACAAAAAAGAAAAGAAAAAAAATAAATTTTTAAAATTTAATCAGTGTTTCTTTGTTTTTACTTCCATTCACTGCCTTGTAGCTCTGAAAGGGTTGACCGGCTAAGTAAGCAGCCTTAGTTGTTACCTAACAGACACTTGGCTATGGAGTATAAAAGTCAGGCCCCTGTCCTAATGCCACAGACCCTTCATACTTCAGGGAAGTGGCTCATTCTGCGTCTTTTATCCTAGTTTATCCTAAAACGCCTCATGCTACATTTTACCCTTTCATATAGCCTCAGTGGGAGAGAATGTTAAACAGAAATGTGGTATATTCTTTCTGCCATGGCCTCCCCAAGTAGATTGTTCCTTAACCTACAGAATCATTGGTCTTTAAAAATTTTTTTCAAAAAAGCTTTATTGAAGTATAATTGGCAAACAAACTGTACATATTTAGGGTATACAATTTGATAAGCTTTGACATATGATACACCCAATGAAATCATTACCACAGTCAAGATAGCATATTCTTAACCCCAAAAGTTTCTTTGAGCCCCTAGGTAATCCCTCCCTCCTACCACTTCCCATCCTCCCCCATCCCCAAGTAACCACTGGTATACTTTCTGTCACTGTAGAATAGTTTGCATTTTCTTGAGTTTTATATAAATAGGATCATACAGTATGTTATGGTAATTGGGCTTTGAGCTAATACTCTGAAGCAGTCTTAATACTTCGGCATAGCAATGATACTCACCTAGATTTTAATTTAGAAAGGAACTGTTTGGGTAGATGTAGATACTGTAGATATTGTGTTCCTGCATGGCATTGTCTAGTGGAAGTAAAATGAGCATCTTCCATGTGTTCAGGTCAACTGCACTTAACTTGCCTAAGTCATCTCCCTACAAAATTGTCTGTTCTATGATTGTATTAGCAAAGAAATTTTGGCCATGATTATTTGGAATACAAATCATCCATTGGGGCTATTCTCAGCAAGATTGTACTGAAAAACAATAACATAATTTTTATATACCTGTTTGAAGGAAATGATTATAAGATCAATAATGTAGGATACCTAAGACATAGAAGAACTTTTGCTTTTCAATGGCATCAATGCCTCATGAATTTAATGTACATGTCTACCTTTTGTGGCCCTGCTTTAAGTGAGTCATTTTACAAAGATGAAAGCCAAAATCCAGAGAACTTAAAAAATCCAAGATTATACAACAAGGTATGCCTGATTTGGGGGGATATATTACCAGCAAATAAAGTTGCCTTCCAAGAGTGCTCCTTCAGCAAAAATAGGAAAAGCCATCAATATCCTCTCCTATTTTACAAAGACTGAAAAAGGGTAGGTTCTTTATGTCAATAGAAAGGTGAGTAAGAGGAAGGAATTGAATTAAAAGGGAATATTTAGTTGGATACAAGGATGAAATTGGTGGGGAGGAGGAGCTTGGAAGAAGACAGAGAAAGAAACTACTGAGTGCTAGAGGGATGTGTTCATCCCCAGGGCCATGAGCATCCATGTTCTGTGAATTCCAACTTAAACACTGGCACAGGTCACCAGAGCAGTCAAAGGCCACTACAAAGAGGAACCCTAGCACGGCTACGGAGCAGTGAATTGCAACACATTGTCCTGCCTTTACCTCTGGAATTTGTTTTGTCTATCACTTCTTTTGGATAGTGTTCATCCACAACTGGCTACTGCAACAGATCTATAGGAGGTGACAGTCAGGTTTTTTGTCATTTTTATTTTTGTTTTGTTCTGAAGAAATCAAAAAGTAAAAACCCAAGGAAGATGTTTGGCAGCTACTGAACCACCAGCAGTGCTGGGGAAGTCAGTTCACCAGTGGTTCCTTAGGTCACATGGTCCTTCCAAACTTCCATAATCCATCTACTCTCAGTTTCCCTGCTCTATTGTTCAAGGGTTGCAAACTCAGATGCCTTCAGAGATAAGGTAAGTGATGAAAGCTGTGAAGCAGGCTGGGAGAGAACTATGGAACTGGGAGAACATTCCCACCTAAAGTTCCAGCTGATTACTGTTGTTGGGGAATGTGGGCAACGTTTCCATATCTGCCATTGTTTTGAGAGAAGCTGGAAAATGAGCTATGTGACATCTAATCTTAAATTGACTGTTTCGATGTCAAGAGGAAAACTAATTTCAATGTTGGGAGAAAATAGAGCTACGCAGGTCAGTGGGGAAAAAAGGTGCTAACCGTTGTAAATGATTGAAAACTAAGACTAAAGACAAAAGGAACTGTACATAGGGACTGTAGTCTAGTTGGTAAGGTTTCTTAAGGAAGTACAGGTTAATAAGTCTAAAGCTGCTGTATATATGTACTCATGATACAGAAAAGCTGAGGAGATGGGGAGAGTAACTGTATGGTGGAGAAACCTCAGCCAGGTGATCACAGTCAACACCAACAGTGATTAATCATGTGGATAATGTGTGCCCTTGATGTGACGTGGTGAGAATCACACTTTACCTCTGTGGTCTTCCTTACAAAAACATGAGAAACACATCAGATAAATCCAAATTGAGGGGCATTCTAAAAAATGCCCAACCCGTTCTCAAAACCTTCAAGATCATGAAAAATAAGAAAAGTCTGAGAAACTGTCACAGACAAGAGGGGGCTAAGGAGACACGATGAGTAAATGTAATGTGATTTCTCGGATAGTATCCTGGAACAGAAAAAGGACATTAGAGAAAAACTACTGAAATCTGAATAAATATGGAGTTTAGTTAATAATCATGTATCCACATTGTTTCATTAGTTGTGACAAATGTAGTAATGTAAGATGTTAACAGTTGGGGAAATGTTCACTGGCCATGTAACCATATGAAAAGCTACTCAGCTTTGCTCATAATGAGAAATGGCACTGAGATACCATTTCCTACCTGTCAGATTGGCAAAAATTCAAACAGTTGACAATATACCCTGTTGGTGAAGCTGTGGGAAACAAACACTCACATTCATGGGGTGTTACCAATATCAAGCAAAATTACATACATATTTATCTTTTGGCCCAGAAATCCCATTTCTAGGGATCTATCCCAAAGATACCCTGGCAAAAATATGAAAAGACATAAAAAAGTATGTATATGCCTATTCACTGCATTATTTGTAATAACTAATGTTGGAAGTAAATACCCATTTAGTAGTCAGTCAAAACAAAAACCTGAATCCAATCAAGCCTCTGGAATCCACAGTATAGATCTAAGTAATAATTTACGGGAAATACAGGACCGCTTCTTGGTCTTTTGGCTTAGATCAAGTGTATAGGAAATACAGGAGACAAAATATGTTAAACACAACAGAAATGCAATCAGAAAAAATGCCATTTCTTCAATTAAATTGCAAGAGAGTAAAATTTCTCCAGTTGTCTTAATTTTATTTTATTTTTATTTATTTATTTTTTTTCCTTTTTGTCTTTTTTCATGACCGGTAACAGGATCGCAACCCTCAGTGTCGCGCCCGTACCGCGACCGGCAACGGGATCGCAACCCTCGGTGTTGTGCCCGCACCTCGCTCAACCAGTGAGCGGACCGGTCTCTATATGGGATCCGAACCCTCGGCGGGAGCGCCGCCGCGCTCCCAAGCGCCGCACTCTACCAAGTGCACCACCGGGCCGGCCACAGTTGTCTTAAATTTTTAAACACTGGATATTTGTTAAAACTTAACTTCTTCACATTAAGTGTGATAATGACTTTATGGCTTTATTTTTTAGAGTGCTTGTCTTTTAGAGATTACATACTGAATGTTTACACATGAAATGTTCTGTCTGTGATTTGCTTTAAAATAATCTCAGAAAAAAATCTCAGGTTGGGAGTATGGATGGGAGTTTAGATGAGAAAGTGACTACAAATTGATAATCATTGAAGCTGCTACATGGTGATTTCATACCATTCTCCCTATTTTCACAAAAGTTTAAAATCTTCCATAATAAAAATATAAAACAACAGAACAAATTGTTCAGGCCAGAAAATTATACCTATGAGCTAAATTCAAATGATGAGTTACCAATTTGCAGCACTGTCCTAAAATATTTAATAGCACATGAATAAACATGAGGACAACAGGGTATAATGGTCCCAAATACAACTGGAATACCAGCCTGCCCTTTTTCACCATTTCTTGTGGGAAAATTGGTTTGGACAGGTTTTTACCTTGTGTACACATTTAGAATTCCACGCCCTTGCTTCAGTCGGCTTCCTCCTGGAAAGCACAGCCAGCCAGGTGAGTGTTGATAAAGGCCCAGCTGACTCATCAGCCTGGAAGGCAGGCCCTCCTTGTGCCAATGGCCCCGAGCTGGAGGGCAGATGCTAGGGAGAGGGCCAGCTGGCATCAAAATAGGATCTGGTAGAACAGCAGGGAAACAACTTGTGCTGGACAAAATAAAGAAACACCCGTGTCTGTTTTTAACATTTATTAATCCAAAAATACATAAAATTCTACTTTCTACGCCAAGTTCTTGGATACCCAAGAAGAGGGGTAGCTGCCAGTTGTATCTGGTGCAGTACTTAAGTGTTCATGTTGATCTCACGGGGGAAAGATGAGGAAGCAAGGCTCAAACTAGGGAACCCCAAAATCAGGTCCATGCCCTGCAGAGGCCCTGCTGGGGGTCCTGGCCCACAATAATTCTTGGGTCTTTTTGCCAGAGGAGATGGGGCAACCACAAGAGTGGGCTACCCTGGGGCAATTCCTCCTATACCACTAGGCCCAGGGTTGGGCGAGCTCTTTCCCTGCTCACTGGAACTTCTGGCTGAATTTCTCCAGAGCAAGCACAGGAGAGGCAAGCCCAGGAAAACAGAGCCCTCAAAGCAAAGCTTTGCAGGGAGAAACTGCAAAGGGCCTCAGGCCTCTCTTTCCTTCATGGCCCAGATGCACATCCTGGAAATCCAGAGGTAAGACCCTGCAGCCAGCACGTGCTCACTGGGCTGTCACACCTCCCTTTAGTCCACGCAGCCACCCAGGAGGCATGGGCCAGCCGCTATCTGCAGCCTTGTCATTGCATGCCAACTGGGTGCATGGGCCAGGGCTCCTGGGCTGCACCAAGGCCTGCCACAGGAGGGGCTTGGGCCACAGGCTGCAGCCGCTGCTGGGACTGCCAGATGTGATGGAGCTCCTTGAACTGCTCCACCATGCGGTCTTTGAGGTCTGGGTTTGAGATCTGTAGCCGGATACTATCAGCAGACCAAGAAAGCTCCCCTGAGAACATCTCCAGCAGCAAACGAGCTGCTACAGGCACCACCTGGGGGACAAAGAGGAGACAGGACAGGGAGACCCATGGCAGGGCTGCCAGATCCAGTTGTGCACAAGGGCAGCCACCAAGGGCAGGTGGGAGACTGCGTCCTCCAGGCCCGAGCCTTGATTATCTCTGGCAGCCAAGTTCACACTGCCCAGAGAGCCCTGAGCCTCCACACTGGGGCACGAGCCTAGTCCCTGGATTCCCCAGTGTTCAAGAAAAGTTGGTGGGAGTGGGGTGGCGTACCTGTACAGTAATGAGCTTCTTCTCTCGGGGTTTCCGGTCAGGCCACTCTTCCCCGAAGCAGAAGAAGATCTCGAAGGGTGGTGGGGCATTGATCTGGCCCTTCTGGAACAGGATGAGCTCTGCATCAAGATCAAGACCCCTAGTCAGAGGCTAGGACTGTGCCCCTGGGCAAGAGGAGGCCAGGAAGAACATGGCGTAGGGCCCTCACCATTGAGAAAATGCTCCAGGCTGAAGAGCTTGGTCTTGACCTCCCGCTGAATGGGGTTGGGATGTGAGCTGTGGACTGAGGCACAGGGCCCACTCCAGAACACCTTGCACTGACACAGGCGGATAGCATACAGGTCCTGGCCCTGTAGCTGGAGAATAAGCCCACGATCCAGGACATCCAGAAGCTGGTTGGTATAGAAGCGCTGCTTGTCGCTGGGGATGTCCTCAGGGCTGGGGAACCGCACTTGCTCCAGGCTCACGGGGCCGAAGAGCTCCACTTGCTCCTGGGTGGCCTCCAGCTGGCTGTAGAAGAGCCGGCAGCCGTGTGGGTTGCTGATGGTGAGGGAACGGGGTGGCCGCCCCCGGTACTGGAATTTGATCTCCAGGTCAGTCACTGTGGGCAGAGGGGCAGGCCCACCCCATCCATGAGCCCCATGCCATTCGATGCTGCAGCCCAGCAGCCAGGCCCAGCCTCATCAGCTCCCCCACTTTCTCCCCAACCCAAAGAGACTTGCAAACCCTACCCCAGTGCCCCACCCTGCCTCACCCATGGGTCCTTACGCGGCAGCATGTGGGGGCTGATCAGCAGGTTGGGCAGGAGTTGCTCGCCAGCAGGGGGCAGGCTGGGAGCCAAGGGCCCAGGCTCCAGACTTGGCAGGACCTCAGAGAGAAGCTCCCTGAAGGCCACAGGGTCGCCAGGGGGAGGGGCCAAGAGGCTGGGGTCTGGAGCAGGGAGACCCAGCACTACAGGTGGCTGGACAGTTGGCCACTTGACATCCTCTTTAGGTAAAGAATAGGGTGTCATGGAGGGGCCAGGCTGCACTGCTTCTACAGAGGGAAGGGGTGGATGGAGTTGTTAATGCCACCTCTAGGAACCGCCTCCTGTACCCACCTACTCCCAGCCCTGGGTCTCCCCCAGCCTCCCTTCAGCCCCCTCCCAGGTACCTATGGCACCTGTCACTTCTTATGCTACACCCCCCAACCACACCCCCTCCTGGCCCCACCTGTGAGGCTCAGGCCTGGTAACATCCTCTGGAGCTGAAGGGAAGACACAGGCAAAGGAGGAAGGATGAGGTCAGAGAGGGAAGAGAGGAAAGGTTATTAAATTGATCTGATGGGGAAGAAATACCGGATTTTTTTTGGGGGGGGGCAGCTGTCTGGTACAGGGATCAGAACCCTTGACCTTGGTATTATCAGCACCATGCTCTAATCAAGTGAGCTGTGATGGGGAAGAATACACGAGAACCACAATCAGTGCCTCAGTTTCCTCCTCTGCTTTTTGCAAATAGTAATACCAACCAAGCCCCAACTGCTGTGATGGTCAGTCAGACAATGTATGAGTACACTGTGTAACAAAAAAGCCACAGGGAGGTTCAGAAGGGGACTTTCTCCTATCCTTCAGAATCCCAAGATCAGAAACTCAGAGGAGAGCTACAAAAAGGGCAGCAAGGCTCCAGAGGAATGGGGCTGCTGAATCCTAAAGCCCAGTAGGCTGGGGCCCACCCGTTGCCCTGCCCCACCCTCACCTCTTCCTCCTCCTCCTCCTCCTCTCCTGCACCAAAAGTGTAATCCTCAGTGGGCTGGGACTCTGCACAGCAAGGGAGAGAAAAGGACAGGAAAGCACTCAGAGGCCGGGGAGAGGCAATGCCCCCCAGACTCCATCTGGGCAGCTGGGAGGCTGCCTGAAACCTCTGTTGTGGTTTCTGTTCTGCCGCCACCCCCCCTCCCAAAGCTGACCAAACAAAGGGAGAGGCAATGCCCCCCAGACTCCATCTGGGCAGCTGGGAGGCTGTCTGAAACCTCTGTTGTGGTTTCTGTTCTGCCGCCACCCCCCCTCCCAAAGCTGACCAAACAAAGGCTGAGGTGAAGGGCACAGTGACCAGGAATCTCGAGAGACCTCCCCAATTCCGTGGCACTCACCTCCCTGTGCTGCCAGACCTAGACTGGAGCCAGGGAGTCCAGAACAATGGTGGCATGAGGAAGAAGGACCTAGGGCCCTGACCCCACCAATGACCCATCCCAGCCACTCCTGGAAGCTGTGGGGTTATGACCTGGAGGAGCCCAAGCAGCATGTCCTGAATCACTACACGCTGGTGGGAGCCTGGCCTTCCTGCCCTGAGGGGTCACAGCTGGGGCCACGACATCGCACAGCCTCCTAGGAGGCCCACACAGGGTACCTGTGGGAGCAGGGCCATTGGAGCAGACCTCGTAGATCTTGTACGGCTGAGGCGGCATGTCCCGGGGCCCGTCGTAGATGAGGCGGAAGTCGCGGCTCTTGTTAAGGGCGCAGCGCAGGTTGGCCTTCCACTTGGCCGGATCCGCCTCGTCCACCCCTTCCGTGTACTTCCCCGTCTCCTTGGCCCAGGCCTGGGGCAGGAAGAGAGGTCAGCGGCCACAGACAACCTCACCCCTCTCCCAAGCCCCAGCCTGCGAACTGGGGATGAGTTGGGGGTCGAGCATGGGGGTCCCTGCAGCACGGTGACACTACTCAGCCACCAGCTGAGCCTTGCCAAGCCCCAGGGCCTCGTCTGCACCTGGGGGTGTGATGCAGGCTTCCCTCTCTCAGGTTCCAACAAGCTCCATGAAGCTTAGGGGTGTTGGGGGCATCCGAAGTCAGTGCTGCTGGGTGTAAACAGGTACAATCTCTAAGGAGGAGCGCGGAACCTGGTGGCTGAGGCCATGTGCACTGCAGCCAGGCTGGCCTTGCTTCCAGAATGTGCCACCGCCAGCTGCACGCCAGGCCATGTCACCTTGACTCTCCTCACCATGGTCTCCTCCTCACAGTGCCCACCTCACAGGGTGAGGTCCACAAAGCACTCAGAACTGTGCCTGCACATAGCACAGGCTCCATACGCTTCGGCTGTGCGTGTGACTACTGTGGATGGCAGTTGGGTGATGTCAGGATTACAAATGCTTCTCCCCTTTAAGCCAGCAATTGGACTTCTAGGAATTTATCCTAAGATTATAGAAGCATCCACACACGATTACGCACGTACAAGGTTATTCACTGCAGCACTACTTGTAAAAGCCAAAGATCCAAAATGCTCAATGTCCATGAGTGAGGGGCTGGTTTATGACCAACCCACAGAGTAGAGCGATGGGCAGGAAAAAAAAACAAGGAAGGAGGAAGTTTTATGTGGACTGATGTGTCACGATCTTCTAGGGATACTACGTGCATCCTCGTTGGTATAGGAGCAAGACAGAAAAGAAAAGAAATATTACGTGCAGAGAAGAGTACGTATACCTCTACCATTTCTGTGAAAACTGGGAGAAAGGACAGGTACGTATTTGCTCATATATTCACAGAAATCTCTCAGGAACGACAAACATTAAGGCCTCTGGTGGGGAGGGTAGCCAGGAACAAGGTTGGGAGAAAGACTTTTTCCTGTAAACCATTTATGCCTTTTAAATTTTGACTTGTGTGACTGTGTTTCCTATTCAAAAGTAAGAAATGGAGTTGGAAAAGAACTTTGGAAAGGTAGGGATGAATTGCAAAGAATAAAAAACATGTATCCGAAGCTTAAAAAATATCCATTCTCCTTGATACAGCAATCTTTAACTAGAACTGACCCCAAAGAAATAATTTAAGATGAATACAGGGTAAGAGTTAAGAGAATCTATATGACATGAGGTTTTTAACACTGAAACATGAAAAGCAACTGGAAGTGTCCAAAACCTGGGACTGGGAGACTGAATTGTGCCAAGCCATTCTTTTGGAGCAGTCAACAGACACAAAACATGATGTGGACATAAGTAGAAAAGGAAAGCCGATCCAGGGGTGGGGTGAAAAAACGCTGGTTATAGAACAGAACGTATGCTCACTTGCAGTTTTGTGCTTCACATACACACACATGCAGGCAACAAGACGTATAAGCAAAAACTACTGTCGCGGGCACCTCCCAGCACTGAGATTACCAGTGAATTGTTGGCTTCTGTGAGCATATGTGGACACTGATCATGCACTCATGTGTAACAGGAGTGAGACAAGAACAAGGGGTGAGTGGGAGGAGTTCCAGGAGCGTCTCCTGCAGCCCCCACCTTGCTCTGGGGTACAGGTAAGAAAAAGATTTACCGTATGGCCATGCCTGCGACCCCTTGTTCTAGGCCTAGAGTCACCAGCAGCAAGGTGGCTGGGAGAGTGGCTGGCCTTGAGGAGCCCTGGGGGTGAGTGCACGTCTGTGAGTGCATGTGTGTGTTTGCATGTATATATATGGAGGAGGTGTGATACTCTTCTGGGGATGGGGTGCCTGGAAGGTCCAGGAAGTGCCCCCCTGTCCAGGGCATACCTTGAAGATGGTGTTGTCTCCTTCCTGGCTGGTGCCATGCCTTGTGGCATGCCGCCAGGGGATGTAGAAGAATTTCTTATCCCCGTTGACCCACTGAAGTCCTGGGTACTGGCAGCTGTTCACCTGGGCCACCAGCCAGGGCTTCAGCCGCACGCGACGGGGCGGTGGGGGAGCCCCGGGCCCGGGCTGGTTCATGGCACGGGGTCTGCAGGAGAAGCCAGGTGGGAGCATCAGCACAGGAGCAGCTGGCACTCGCTGCCCCGGCAGGACAAGGGCGCTCAGGGGCAAGCCAGGGGCCTGAGGGACAGACTCTCTAGTGCACCCACCTGGTCAAGGCCAATGCTCTTTTCCAACCATCAGCTTTCTGCCCACAGGGTCACAGAATTTTCAGTTTGAGGGTGAGAGAAGGGGGAGATTTACAATGTAGAGGTTTCTGTGGGTGCCCTCCACAGATGCCCTTTACCAGGCCAGGGGCAGCCATAGCCAGTGACTGCCTGCCACCCACGGACAAAAGCCGGGCTCCCTTGCTCCAAAGTGGGCTAACCACTGTGCCCAGTGTGCCCAGGGGATCAGGCGAAAGCCCGTCTCCTGCCTCCTTTCCACCTCCCTGCTCAGCTCTTTCCCTGCCCTGATTTCTCACCCTCCTTCCCCTGACAACCCCCTCAACAAGTCCCTCAGCAAGAATCCCATCGCAGCTTCCAGAAACCTGGCCTTAGACAAAGGCAGAGCCTGTGAATGGAGGGAGGGTTTCCACACCAGTTCTCAGAGCTTCCTTTCTTCCTCGGTTTCCCTCAGGAGGAAAGCTTCCCCCCACAAGGACATCTTTGGAAAAATACCATTATCCAACTCATAGTTTGTCCAGCAAGGACAGCGGCCACCAAACTCAGATCTTACCTTTCTAGGGCCATCATGTCCCAGTTTCTTGTTCCTCCCATTCACCTCCCTTTACACATGCATCACGTAGCACTTACAAAGCCCCTGACCTTTGCCAGCGCCTGTGCTGCACACACTACAGGAAATACAGAGGAAGGTCTAGCTTGCCCCACCTCTCCAGGCCACCCTCTCTGCCTCCCTAGAGTCAGGCCAGCTGGCCACATGGACCCCTGTCTCCTCCCCTCCAGCGGCCCAGCCCCTCTCCAGACCCAGAACAGGAAACTCTTCAGTCTCCATCCCCACATCCCTCTCCACTCCTGGGCAGATTTTCTTTTCCAATTGCCCACATTCTTGGTCCTTAACTCTGAGACCCCTGGGTCAGAGACAGAAATGACTGAACCATCATATGACCCAGCCCTCAGAGGAGAATCTGTCACTCAGCAGGTAAGAAACAAAGGCTCAACCTGGACCTTCTCTGGCATTTTAGGCCTGCTTCACAGCACTTAGACTCAGTTTCCCTTGAAATTCCCTAGCCAGTACCTTTTTGGATTGTGGCTGCTAAGTGCCATCTCTACATTGCCAGTGTCTCCCTCAGCAGGCCTCTCCTCACAGCAGTGCGCAGCTCAGCTGCCAGGAACCCGGGAAGGGGTAGGCCTGCTCCTCCCTGTCACGGGGGCTGGCAGGGCAGGGGAGCAAGCTCCCAGCCCTGCACCCAGGCCTCAGAAGACCAATGGCTCAGTTCCCCTTTCTGCACCAACCTCCACCAGCCCCAGAGGAAATGAAAGTGGCCAGAGCGGGACAACTCAGAAACCTGACTCACTGTGAGCTGAAGGAAGGGATGTAGGAAACTCACAAATGGGTCCTCGAGGCCAAATTCTCAACTCCCTACCCCATAGCCCACTCCGCAGCACCAAGCCTGCTGGCAGCATTGTATATTTAGCCTGGTGGGGAGCACCCCTATTTGCATTAGCAGCCCTTGAGGCCTGGGTCCTAGAATTGAGGGGTGACAGTCACCAGCATCAGGCAATTCTGGTTAAGTCAGTGGACAGAGCAGGTATCACAAAGCTGAGGTAGCCTAGGAGGAGGGTGTTTGAAAAGGGGTTCCCAAGACAAGCCCAGCCACGGCTGAGGGAGGGTCTGTCACCATGCCACAGAAGGGTCTTCAGCCTCAGGGGGTTTCATCTGCAGCCAGGTCCACATGGGCCTCACCCTGAGCAGGACCAGACTCCGCATCCTGCCCCCACAAGCTTCCTCCTGCCCAGAGGTGGGCTTGGATCTGATTCCAAGCCCACCATCCCTATGCCCGTGATTCTGAACTTCAGTGTCTGAGCTTCTCAGGGGTCTACAGGATTGGGGTGAAGTATACGCAGCCCACAGAACAAGGTTTGTGGATATGAGCCTTGGAAAGTGGAGAAAAACAACAGCTCTTCCATCAGCTTCCATGGAAATGTCAAAAGGGCCATGGGCTGCTGAGGACCTGAGGAAGCCCCCACAAGGGGTTCAGGCAGTGAAGCATCCAGACGGGAGCCCTGGAGCCCCTGCTGGGGCTGGAGACCCCACAGCTCACCCAGGGCCCTGCTGAAGTCCCAGGAGACAGCCCCTGATTTGCTGCTAGGGGAGGAAGCCCCTCAATAGTGGTAGGAGTGGAGGACAGAGCAGCAGGCCCCCTGCCCCCTCCTAGGTTTGGGGGTCCACAGCATCTCTCTGCAAACCCCACACCCAGCTCAGGGAGAAGGCAAGAGGTTACTGCCCCAGGTCTGACCCCTAAGCCCGCCCCTCCAGGTGAGCTGACCACACCCTGGGCCCTGCTCCGCTGAGGTCCAGACAAGCCAGATGGAGCGAGCTCTCTCGGCTTCCTCCCAGGGGCAGGGTGGGGGAAGGCCGGGGTGCAGGGGGAAACCCCAAGGTAGGGCCTTTAGGTGAGAAGGGTGATTTCCCCGTGTTTCCCTAGACTCTGTGGAAGCCCCTCAGCCCCAGCGCCCCCGCTCCCAAGGCCCGACAGCTAAGGGGAGGGCGGGGACTTTGCCTCTGGCCCGCAGGCCCCTTGCTCAGGACCCCCAGCTCCCCCCATCGGCCCAGCCCGCGTCCTTTCTGGTCCTGGTCACTTAGGCTCTAGGCCGGCAGGGAGCCCAGGCCACGCCAGGCCCCGGAGGCCACCCCCTCCGGCTCCGCCCGCGCACACCGTCCGCCCGCACCTGCTGGGCCAGCCC